TGATAGTGACGTCTCTGAGAACTCTTGTGACCCTAAGTTTAGTCGGGTCAGGGCACAAGGTCATTGTGTTGGATCTATGGGGAAGAGCTCGGGCCACTGGGAGGGGTCTAAGAAGATGGTGCAGACCCCACTGTAGAACCAAAGTCTTGGCAGGAAGCCCTCCACCTCCCAGGTGTTGGACGCTCGGTTGTAAACCTCCACCTCCACCCCGTAGTCGCCCTCCATTCCTTTCCAATGGCCCCCAGTGACAAACAGCATCCCATCCAGCGTTACCAGGCCGCCATTCTCATGAAGCATGTGGAGAAGCTGGACCTGATGACACAAGGAAAAGTAATCAATTATTAGTTTTGCTATATTCCTGTAATAATTCATTCTATATAATATTATTATGAATATTGTCAGCAGTGATTCCTGAACCCACCTTCTGCCACATGTTCGCCTCTGGATCATAGCAGTAGACTTTCTTAGTGTTGTCGGCGACCAGATACACAATCCCATCAACACAAACAGAGCGAGGAGAGGACAAGTACTTGGGGATGAAGGGTGAACATATGCTGATCCAATTATCTGTTAAAAAAAAAAAACATTTAAAAAAAGAAAAGACAAATATCCGTACTGAAGTTTTTATAATGTCTGGGCTCAGCACTTTAATCAACTACTTTTTTGTGGAACAATAATCTAGATGAGACTGTTAATTGAATCCTTTGACTGTTATATGGGGTCATTATTGTTGCAACATTATTTCATTTGAATATTACCTGATTACACACACAGATTCTGAATACACATTTGTAGATTCATGTACGCGTTTGCAAATCTCAGCACATATTTGCATATTTTTTCACACATTTACAAGTCTGATTATACACACGAGTTAGTTACACAACTCTTACACAAATGATATTGCTACATTATTGGCCCCATAGAAAAACAACTAAATTCACATACAGTAAGTATACTGAGGATACAATAGGAATTCTGACTTTTTTTTTTATCACGTCTAAGATCTAAAGATAGAGACATTACATATGTTAGAGAGAGTATGGATAATATAATGTAGATTTATTGGGAAATGTCAGCATGTAAAAGTTGTAAATTAATCCACCAATAGGGCTCCAAGATTAATAGCAATACTGTGATGTATTTACTTTTTAATATTTACGTAACAAAGCCACTAATAAATATTTAGTTAAAACAGACGTGACGTTTTTATCCCTTCAGCAGTGATACAGTTATTCAAGCATCCTTACCTATAACAGGATTGTAGCACTGCATGGTTAAAGCATTGTACTTCACAGCACATGAGCCGATCACGTAAAGCTTCCCATGACACGCTGTGGCGGTGAAGTTAGTCACATATTTCAATGCTGGGCAGGTCAAGGCCCAGGTGTCGCTGTAAGGGTCATAGTGCTCAACCTCAACTTGAACTGATGTTGTACCTAAAGGAGGGAAATGTGAGAAGAATGAATCATCATCAGTGAAATAAATGTCCAAAAAAACTACGAATTGTGGCAGAGCAAACACACAATGAACAGTACGGCCTTGTTTTTTGTCTGAGGCCATTCACCTACTAAAAGAAATCAAATCAAAATATCACTGCAGAGGTGAGACACTGAGAAGTGAATGAGCGTCTGGAGTTTTTCAGTGCACTGCAGGATTCAGGCTCCACATGCAGAACTATTTATTTTCTAACCTCCGATGACGTAAATCTCCCCGTTGAGCATCGCTGATGTGTGGTTAGTCCGAGGCCGGAGCATAGGTGCCACAGTTACCCACCTCCCCTGTTTTGTGATGTACTTCCAGGTCTCTGTGGTCGACCAGGTGTTGGTATTCGAACCCCGCGAGCCCCCTGTGAGAGACGAGAGCGCTTTGTCAAGTGTCTGAGCAAGTATTCTCGAGAAACCTGGTGAGTTCTGCTCAAAACCATTTATCATCGCTCCTTTGTTGTTCACCAGTAAAGTTTCTGTGTTTTAAAGTGTTGCTCACACTGGACCCACCTGTGACATACACATCATTGTTCAAGGAGACCATGGAGTAACCCCACTTGTTGGGGTTGGGAAAATTAGGGAGCTCATGCCACTGTTCTGCAGAGAAAGAAAAAACTAAGTTCACATTTGTGCAGCATTCAGAAAAAATGACAAATGCACACCAGGGTAAAAATGCACTAATTTCCTCTTGGAACATTTATGTCAAAAGTCAGTTATAGCTTGCTGGTCTTGAACTGTCAATAAATTCAACTTTTTTGCACAACTTGTAAGATTGTGGCCAAAGATGTTTTGCTTCGACATAAAGCCAGAATTCTTCCCATGTAATAAACACGGAAGAAGACGCCTTCTTCCAGCTCTGCACAATAAAACGCTCATCTGAGGAACCGAGAAGGTGATCAAGTTTTGTCACATCTGAATGGCTTTTCTGCCGGGCTATTTTCCTGTCCGCGTTAAATTTAACGACCTGAAACACATCTGCCAAACTGAGGAATCAGTCAGACGTTTCCCAACAAAAATCTGTTGCAAAATGTATTGTGAACTTAAAGAAGCTTGATATGAGAAATATTTGTTTTACTTGTTTTTGTGTTGTAGAAGGCACAGTTCCTGGGCAGCAGTCTACGTAGTCTTGGGTCTCTGTCTTCATCCTCATCTGAGTCATCTGAGTCTTCATCATCCAGTGAGCGACCTCCCATTACAAACAGCACCTCTTGCAGGTTTGGTTGTGGACTCTGAGACATGACTCTGTCCAAATATTCTGATGACAAATCCATTTTCTAGAAAAGTTAAAGTGATGATTGGTTTTTTAGAAACCTTCTCACATCAAGCAAACAAAGATAAGAGCTAAAAAGAAGCATGTCACTAACCTCTCTGTGAATTTTTTCTACTGCCTCTCTGCAGCTGGGAGATGCCTGAACCAGACTGTCCTTCAGCAGGGTGTCAGCCAGGTAGTCCAGGCTGAGGAGAGCAAGACGGGACAAGGTGAGGAGCTGGGGGAGGTGGCAGAGGCGAGAGTCCTTGTGGTGACTGACCCACTTCAGGATAGCCTCCACACGAGTATGTTCTGACCGAATTTGTAGTCCTTCGTCAGACAGGCAGGAAATCAGTCTGTCTTTTCCCAACAGCAGAAACTCCTCACTCTGTTGCACTGCCTCAAAGTTCTCTAAAAGGAAAGCCAAGGCTTTGGCGACCACCTCTGGGCAGCCGTGGATCTCCCCAAACTCCAGGATTCCCAGACAGTTGGTTCCATCAATCTGATGCTGGAGGTATCGGCTGCATACAGTTCTCACCGTCTGGAACTGCAGCTGGCTTGCAGTGCAGATCAAGCCCTCCACATTGCTCTGGTTGATGGTTAGTTTGCCCGTGTAGGCAAAGTCCAGCAAGTGGCTGAGGATGTCAGGATCGACATCTTGAAGCTCCACGCGGGCGGCAATGCTCTCTACAAAGTCGCCTGAGAACATGCAGTGAAAGTACTTGCTGCAGAGAGCCAGCACGCCACGGTGACAGGGGAAGTCCCGACCGCCTGCGCTCAGCGTCACATCGACCAGTTTGGGTTGAGAGCGTAATGAGAGCAAGCCCTCAAGGATGCTTTGAGGATGAGAGGACAGGCAGTAGTCCAGATCATCCACATTACGCACCATCTTCAACTCGAGTTCAAAATGTAGGTCAAATCTTTCAGCGGGATGACCCGGAATCAGGCTCCAAGCTTATCTGCAAATGTAGAAAAATATGTAAATATGAAGAAGAAATAATTCTATAAAAGATTATAAAACAAAACTTATAGATATTAACATCAAAATATTGAACATGAGGTAGTAAATCTTATTCAAAGGCAGAAATATTTGAAAGACAGTTTTAATTTATCTGTATGATTGAGAGATGCTGGAACTTGTGGTGTCAAGTAGCAGAGTAGTTGTGTAATGTCTTATTTTGCTTTTTAGTGTGGTCTAACAAAAAGAGCCCCAACATAGTGGGGATGGAAAGAAAACAGTTCCTTCTCTAATGTGTCTTTAAAACATATCTTGTAAAAAAGTCCAACCTCTTCTCAGTGTGGCATCGCTGTGTTGTTTAAAGGACAACAAAGTACCTTTGGCCATGTTGCAGCAGTTTAGTTTGAACCACCTCCAAAATCAGCTATTAACTACATTTCCTGTGGACAAACTGTAAAATCAAGTAAAGAACCAACAAATAAACTCACCACTGATGAAGAGAATGGAAACAGTGGCTCATCGTCCCTGAGAAAAAGTTGTTTGTAGCCGAGCAGCGGGTCAGATCAACATGGAGTGCATGGAGTGCATGGGCAGCATGGCGTAAGGCTTTTGCTAAGTCATTGGGACGGAGTGCCTGTCTTTCACTCGGTTATTTTTAGGACCGAGAGTGACGCTGTGCTGATGTCAGATTCCAAACAAGATGGGACCAACAGCTGCTGTTACAGGCACATGTTTAGCATTTTCTAACTCTCTCTGGAAGCTAGTGAAGGAGGTAAATAACATCGAACCAGGGATTTTGAATGTTGCAATTGAACAACAAGAAATTAATTACAACATAGTGTGTAGTGTTAGTCCATGTTGGGGTTGAGATACAGAATGTTAGGTTTTATTTAAGGTGACTTAAAAATAAGAAAAAATATGTGATATAATTTAAAGTCTGCGGAATATGCCAATAATCAAATATTCAACATGTCTGTTTGATGTTTTATTTTGTAGTATTATTAAAATTGGTGTGCTTCCTATCTGACCATTGGTTTTCTTGAGAACATTTACCATAGCAGGGTCAAGGAAAATAATTAAACCCAAAACACACTTGTTTACTTAAAGCACACTCTTTTGTAATAGGGCTGGGTATGGTCTGAAATTTGTTGATGCCATAACGTCTTTAAAACCTAAGTTTCAAAACCAGTATCAAAATATCAATACATTAAATTACTATAAAAAAAAAATGTTTAATTGAATAACATGGTCCAAACTTCTACAATTCATATTCATATGATGTTAACATAAGAAAATACAGTATAAAATTAAGAAAATGATCAATCAAATTAGGCAATATGTAATCAAAGAATACGTAAACAAAGCCAAGAATCTTGCTGAGCATTCATTGCCAACTTCCAATACTTGACCATTTCAACACTTCAATACACAAATCAAAAATAATTTTTGTATGATACCCAGCCCTAACAATGTCTACATACAAAGCATACAAAAATATCAAAAATCCCAGGAAGCTACTCAAAATCAAAAATCTCTGCCTCTTTCTCTTTCCAAAAAGCAAAACTACGATCAATGTATTTACAAATCTCTTCATTACTGAAGCTGGAAATGTCAGTTCCACGGTAGACCATCCCCTCATCTGGAGTAGGTGTCTGAACAATGACTTTAGGGACCTGTCTAACCTCTGGGAGACTATGTTTCACCACTTCTACAGTGCTTTCAGGCTTACTCAGAGTATTTCCAAAGAACTTTACTTTAATGTCCTCAAAGCCATCCTTCCACTCGCGGTTTCCAGCCTCAATGTCCTGTATGACAGCCTTGTGAAAGTCCCTGACCATTTCCCAGGGAAAGCTCCCGATGTGGTCGAACACCTCGAAACACAGCAGGTGCCTAATTTTGCGTTCGTCCACAGGCAGCTCCAACTCCAGGATGTGAAAGTAGCCCAGCATGAAGAGATCCAAGGTCAGGTTGTCATACTCCACAGGCGCACCGTCCAGACGAGGAAGGAACTGCTCTGGGGAGTAGAGGGCCTGCTGCCTGTGGAGCCTGTGGAGAACACGGCATGATTATTCAACATGTGCTTTTCCTGACAAACTGTCCACAGAAAAAAGATGTTGCAGGTACTATATAAGAAAATATCCTCGCATCTGAAGTCAAATATTCCGAATTTTTTGCCGGGTGTTCAGTTAGTTAGATATTAGCTGGCTAAAGCTTTCTTCAGCAGCTAGTTCATTGCGAACATTGCTGTTCATTTCTGAGCGTATAGCAAACAGTTGGTATATAGAGGGCCCACAAAGGATCACGTCAGAATTATTCTGAGGATTACATCTGCGGTCCTTGCAATATGTTTTTCCTTCTCTTGCAACACTTGTTCGTACTCTCGCAATACTTTTATTGTTTTATGTTAACTTAGAATGAGCCCTCTGCATCTACATGTGGAGTAGGTCTTCTCCTGTTGCTCCTGAAATGTTGCATCTCCATGTTTATTCAGTTTCCCAGAATGTACAAACCAAACACTGGCCTTCCATGTTTTAACATTACCTGAGGGCCACTCTGAATTCCCCCTGTTGCTTGGGAATGGGGTGGGTATTTAATCGGTTGCAATCTGCAGCTTCTCCATTAGATGCCACTTAATTTTACACACTGGTCCTTTAAAAACTGCTACTGATAATGAGCTTAAAGTGAGTCAGTCCAAAAACCATGAGCAAGTAAAACAATGAGCTAAAAGAAGCTAAGAGCTCCACAGAGCTCTGAGGGTTTGTCACTATGAGGATACCATTCCACATTACACAGTTGTTAGTCCATTGTTAATATAAAAATATTGATCAGTTGAAACTGGCATAGCTTGTGTAGTGCTACTTTAGTACCTACCCTAACTTCACCGAGTGAGTTTTGGAAAAGGGATGATAGCAAGTTATAAAAGCTATGCAGTCGTACCTGCGTATCTGTCTGGAAGGGACACTGGAGATCATGCTCCTCCAGTTCCCCAGCATCTTGTTGACAGCACTCCTCTGCTTAAAGAAATGTCCCATAGAACTGTTCATCATCTTGGACTGGGCACTCTCTAAGCTGCCTCTACGATCAGACACAGATTTTTCACCCACTCCCTGGTTGCCGCCACTCATCTTCCTCTCTGCTGCATCCTTGCTCTTCAGTGTCACAGTGTAGGCAGATTTCTTCCAGTGGCCTAAGAACAGCACAACGATACGCTCTTTTCTAAGGCTCGTGGTCTCCAGAACATCTGCAACATTTTCATCATAGTCGATGCCTGAATCACTGTTCTGGTCTGTTTCTTGGGCAGGATTCAAGACTTTAGGCTGTTTGTCTGACTCTGTGGCCTCGAGCTGTGAGGAAGAATTTAACACAACCTCTTGTTCCTCTGGCTCATCTGACAAAGGTGAGTTCTGTGTCTCAAAATTACACTTCAGAGTCCTCACAGACACTCCAAACTCATGGATCTCATCCTTGATCCTCTCCCTACGTCCTCTGGTGGAGTTCTGTCTTTCTGGGGACTGGGAGAACACTGTGATCAGGTCGGTGTTGGGCATCTTGCAGTGGGGCTGGTCTGTCAGGTTGGTCATGAGCAGAGACATGCTCTTCACGATGCCCGAGATGCGACCACACCACACGGGTAGAGGAACATGACTCGTGAAGTTTCTGAACTGCGTGTTGACAGTGATGTTGACTATTGGTGCTGGCAGAATGTGCCTCAGCTCCTCAGCCAGTCGAGCCAGCTCCAGCTCATAGCCTTCACTTTTCCTCTGCATGGAGACATTGGCAATCTGCTGCTCCAGATAGATGAGGTCATCCTCAGTCAGCAGCTCACCAGAGGGCCCCAGGATGGCATTGTGGGCTTGGGAGTACCTCCAGCTGACTTTGGCATATCTGTTCCCATTTTCCTGAGAGAGCGCAGAAAAAAATTTTGCATGTCACATTGAAACTCCTTTTTTTTACATTTCAAATGGCCTAGGCGTGACAAGAAAAAGAGTAATGATACAGTAAAACTGTGATCCAAACCTCAAAAATATGACTTGACTAGTTATGTGTTCAGTGATTTGTTTCATGCAATTAAAAGTAAATGATGGTAAAAGTGTTTTTCAAATTTTTTTAGTGCAGATGCTGATTTAGAACAGCATCGGAAACTCAGACCAAGATTTTCACTTTGGTCATTGTGGTTTGCTTCGCCTCATTAAGCAGTTGTTCTAAAGATGATTTAATTTTTAAGTAGCCTGAACAACACTTTTCTCACCAAACTTTCAACCAAAAACCAGTCCAAAACCAAAAGTTAGAGTTTATTAATCAAATGAGGCTGAGAAAAGCAAGAAATCCTCATATTTTAGAAAACAAAACCAGACAATATTCAGCATTTCCCTTAAAAATGACTCAAATGGTTAATTTATTAACAAAACAAACAAATTAGAAAGGCCTGGTCTGTAGTTTGGTCCAAGCTCGTCACTCTGTAGGAAGTTGCAGACGACAGAATGGTTGTAAAACTACATACAATCATGGACAATGCCTACCTTCATCAGGCCTGTGATCACTGAACTGGGATCATTTTTATCATATTTTATTATACATAAACATTAATACTTTGACTTGAGCCCTCTGTACTTGCTTTGAATCTTTATATCTTTCATTAAACTTTGTTTTTTGACTGCACATTTTCTGTGTCAGGGCTGCTGACTGTTTCTATTAACTGTGTGTTTTGTATTTTAGTTTTCTGTATTTTTGCATTTCTGTTCTTTCTAAATTATTTCACTGTTTTAACTTATCTCTTACTTTGTGGTCTCTTGGTTCATGTTTTTCACCCAAACACCATCTGGGGAAGATTGGTCCACAAAGCTGCAGATTTATGTCTAATTTCTATTTCTATTTCTCATGTACTAAAATGTGAAGCTCGTGAATTTAAAATCAAATGAACCTCATCAACCTCCTGGCTAAAACAATGTAACAAAAAGCAGTGGCGGATTTTCCTAAATCAGGGGCCATAAATGTGCCACAATTTACACAGAGGGGCAAATTCTAAACTCAACATCCCTGCACAATTCCTGATTCAGCAAAGTGCACACTTAAGTCAGCCTTTGTTTACTGTTAGCTCCACAGCTTTGAAATAGAGCCACAACATCACTGAATATATTTTATACATTTTTCCTGAACTTAGAAAATTAAGATTCTTGGCACAATGTCATGTGTGTTGTTAGTCCTTCATCCTTTAGTTTATGGATTCAAGCTTTTAATAAACCTGTACAATTACCACAAAGGATTAGGGGCATTAACAATCTAACCAAAGAAAATGAATAATTAAATCATCTTGGGAAAGACATTACCTTCCTCCTCTGATCCTCCTCGTCCAGCAGCCTGGTCTGCAGCTGTCTCACCATCACTTGCCTCTTCCACTCGGCAATGGGACGGCCTCTCTCATCATGTGTGGGGACCAGATAGTCGATGTCTGACAGGTTGGCCTCCTCGGTGGGCAGGACAACCATTTTATTCTGCAGAGAAGAAAGCAACACACTTGTTTTCAGCATTTTAACTAAAGAAACAAGATGTACAGGGATCCACCAAAGCATACCTGTTAAAATTAAAAAGCTTATTATTTGCTTACTGCATGTCCAGTGAAGACTCCTGATAATCCCGATTGCTTCAGAGATTTAATGGACTTCATGTTGCCAAGTAGATTTCTTTCAGCCAGGAGGTTTGTATCAGGCATTATGCTCTTATCAGCAGTTATCTCACTCAGAGCTGCATTGGGCTGATTGAAACCTTTAATAACTGAAATACAAATTATACTCACTAATGGCTTACTCATTCAAAGAGTTTAACAATACACATGAAGCAATACAGTAACCATTAAATACAAAAGTACAGTTTGTTGCTTGACTAAAGTGACTGAGGAGGGACTCATTTAGATGACTAATAATGTTCCTCTCACCAGATGTTGCAATTTGAACCTGCTCTAATCTGTTGACTGTGGATTTCACCGGCTGGGCAGGTGTGGACGAAGCGGAGGGTAAAGGAGGTGCAGACGGGGGCTGAGGGTATCTGGCCTGCGGGGGCTCTCCACTCTCAGGTTGCTAGTTTGAAAACCAAAGAGACACAGTGCATTTTCTTCAGGTTATAGTATGAAATAATGAAAAGAAGTAAATACATATAAACAATCAATCCAGGGTTTACCTTTAAACTATCCATGTGTGTGTTGCTGCTGTGACTGTCACTGCATGTGTCACTCAAGCTGCCGTAGTAGTCGTCCTTGCTGCGCTGCAACAGCACAGTGGATTTAACCTTCTCTTCTTCCCCCACTGGAGGGATTACCTCAATGAGTGTATCTGTCTGCAGCGTCTGCGAATATCATAGTCACAACAAATTCTATTTAAGACGAGCAAATATGATAAAACATATAGAGAAATCATGAGGGTTTTTTCAGTTTGAAGAATAGGTGATACATAAAACAGCAACAAGCATTCTCAAGCAGGTGATGTGATCTTCAGTCTAAAAAAGAAATTACAATCTGGCATCATAAAAGAATAAACTGAAAAATCTTCCTGCTCTATATCTGTCCCGTTGTTGACACTGGGTCACATGCTCTTTACAGTCTAAGGTCACATAACAGATACTGTAACATTCTCTCTGGTTAGACACCTTAAATTAAATTGTGTGACAAATCAAAGTAAGTGTAACCTGGATGAAATGAGATTACTGTTGGTAAATTTTCATAAAAATCTGACTTTCAAGGACCAACAACCAATTATTTTCCATTAAACTCTGCAGCGTTGGACACCTTTGGAATAATAAGCTGAAAGTCTGGACTCTCGCTGTCACAATTCACCACCAAAGTACAAAAAACTGACCCGAGGAACCGTATTTCCTCAAAGACACAGTATTTGTCCCTCAACACAAACATTTCAGGTAAATTTAAAGGTCAGAACAGTAACGTGGTGTGGTTCAAAGACAGATAGCATATGGTAGAAGAACAGAGCAGGTTTTAGTAGATCTCACACACAGACAGAAGAAAAGTAGCATTTGGCGGTAATAGCAAGATTTGACAGAATTTTTCAGTCAATACAACATGTAAGTGTTTGTGGACTTTTGTCTGTGGTGTGTGCGGTAGATCTGCCCCTACTGTAAGTATTCTGTATGAGGTTAAACATGGAAGTAATGCTGCATTGTTTTAACAGGCTATTTATTACAGGCTATCAAATTGTGCTGTATATTAGGCTGGTAAAACAATTCTATCAAAAACCAAATAAACACATATGCTATATAAAATGATTGAATTATTAGAATGTCTAAATGCACAGTAACACATCAAAACCTCTTAAAGCCTGAGGACATTCAGTACATAAACAACATAGTAAGCAGCCTTGAATAATTGGCAGCATTTCACACTGCTCTCCAAAGGATGTATGGAAACATTTAGATCTCCTTTAATGAACCTGCATTGTCCTAATGCACTCCATGCAGAAAGTAAATCCACTGTAGCTCTCCAAGGACATTAGTAACCAAAAACATCAAAGGCAGCCTAATATGCTGCTTCGTGCCGCGGTGCTTTGTGTCCATGAGGTGGTCCTCGCCATTTCCTCTCACACTTTGATGTGAAACAGCACGAAATATGCTGTGACACCGCTCAGGCGGAGGAATAAACTTCCCCGAAGTTGTGCAACCCATAAATAGATAAACAAGGGAGCGTGATTTCTTTGTGACCCTTCTCGTAACAGTTCAATGTCCTAAAAGCTTCACTGAACCGTCCCTCTGGTGTGTTTGTGTGTGTGTGTGTGTGTGTGTGTGTGTGTGTGTGTGTGTGTGTGTGTATTCGTCTAATTAGACCCAGTGGCCAGAGAGCATTTGGTTTTCATCAGCACCCCATCATAATTGCCACGCAGATATAGAAAGCCTAACCCTGTTTTTGGCCTGGCTCCACTCTCTCTTCTATCAAAGACCATAAAGACCCCGATCACTATAGATTAGGAGCCAAGAGTTAAGAAACAGCTACTCAGTGCTGTGTCATTGTCAGATATGCAGCACCAGTAATCTGTGCTCCTTACGGGTAGAGCCATGAGAGAGTTTAAGTATTTCAGAACACCATGTGTATTTAAGAAACATGTCTTGTAATTCTGTGCTCTGGAATCAATCACTAAAACAACCTGCTTCCATGTGAAATATTCATGTTCTCGGTGATAAATTGAAACGTGGAATGTATACAGTGGGTGTACATTATACACAGAGCACTACAGTGTAAATACATGTCCACTCACATGTTGAAATACTCTCAGGTTTCCTGTGTGGAGGTAAATGCCGGTGAGGCTAATAAATGACGGATGCAATCTTTTTGCCAACTTTTGCAGCTTTATTGCATCAACTGTAGCTAAACAACACATGACAATATTTGACTACTTCATACTAGAATATTGTCACAACTACTGGAGCAGTAAGTAGATCTAGAAACAGAACAAATCGAAAAAGGGGGGGGGTGGGGAATCATGTCCAATTTGCAAAAAAATCAACATGACAACTGAGGCTCAAAGTAAGGTCATGAGCCTGGAGTATTAGTCATGCCTAACCGTAAGAGGCCACTACAGATCAGAAAATAGGTAAAACACAGCCAAAACATCTGCCAGCTACAGCCTCTTGAACAGAAATGACTAAACTTAATTTCCTTTTTCCAAAAATAATTACTCAGCCTGTCTGGTAACTAACATATAAACAAATGCTCAAAAAAAAGGTTATGAAACACAGCAATAAAAACCCCAAAAAGTACTGTAATGAATACAAAAGCCAGTGAAAGTGATAAATAAACCAAACTAAAACTCACTAACCTTGACCTTGTACAACACAGCAGCACACTGGTGCGACTTCACTGCACAACAGAACTCCTGAGGCACTGACTCATGCAGGTGCAGCCATGTATCCGGGGCAGCCACTCAGAAGATGTGCCACTATCTCGACACCGCCGACCACTTGTTTGACACCATCCTCCGCATCTCTGCGAGTGGCCGAGGACCGCCAGGCAATAAACAATAAACTCTGATCGGAGAATGCTGTTAATAATTAAGTGAAAGGATAGGGTGGCCGGTAATGTCACTAATACATGGACAAACCAACGGCCGCGTTGTTGCACGAAGGGACGTGTCAGCGGAAGAGTTGTCAAAGCAGCTGGAAAACAGACATTTTATCCATGTGTGCGCTCAGGTGATTTTTCCACTTGGGACAATAGAATGAGGGAGCTAATTCATCAAGCATAGGTCTTTTTAACAGTGGCAGTGGAAATACAATGTGACACTGTGAGACCAAGTGACGGGCTTTATCCGTTAATAAGGTGAAAACAACAAACGTGTTGTGACAAACTTTAGTTGTTTTTCAGGTGTTACTGCAGAAATCTGAATTTTAGAATTGAAATTGAAATTATAGAAAAGTGCTGATAACACTGCAACATGTTTTTTTCTGTAATTATTCTTCCTGCTCAAACTGGCTGTCAAGAGATTAGAATACACTTAAAATCCACAATCCAGTGCAAAAATACTGTCGACGCTTTAATTAAAGTTAATATGAGGCTTTATCAGTTTGTGTTGGACACATTAACATCCTCTTATACTGAAGATTAGCATTGAAACACATTTGGGGACATATAATTTCAGGACCAGAATGAAAAGGAGGAATGATAACCAAGAGAAAATTACATGGTTTTACCAATTAGTTAAAAAGAATTTGTTCCACAATCCCAAATGATCCATATTTCTTTGGTATTTAACTTAAAAACATTACATAAACCAATCCAGAATATGTAAAAAGGTATAAGAGCATGTGTTTTGTTTCTCATTGCAAAAAACAATGTGGTGATGGATGAGATGTGTTTCCTCTGTCCAAGCATTCTAAAAATACACATCCTCAAACACCAGTATCTTTGGCACGATCGCCCTGAATGGAGAGCAAACGCCACGTTTGTGTGTGAAGTAAACCTCACGCCATGCTCTGTTTATTTGATTGCAGCTGTTTCCAAGATGAGAGATGAGGAGAGGTTGACGGTGCAGAACGAGTCTGACCTTGTTGCAAGTGATCCAAACATGCAGAAAGGCCAAATACGCAGCCCCCCCCCCCCGGTCAGCCTCCCAATCCATTTAGGTCGTTGCTCGGAAATGAGATTATCTGACTGATACTTTAGAACCAATGAAACCTGTGATCTATGCAGCACCAACATAAAACGCCTCCAGAAATGTAATTAAGAGATGTCTACTTGTACAAGTCATCTCCGGCACAGTAGGCCTCAACGAATCACACTGTTCTCCGAATATTGACAGGATTTAAATAAATGAAGTGCTCTTCCAGGTTCTTTATCAGATGACCCCTTTGTTCCCATCAAGCCTCAGTTTGTGTGCAACTACATGGCCAAGAAACATAATACACCATTCTGTCTGCTACCAACATTACACAGTATCCAGAGGTGACAATCCGAGCACTTCCAAGTCTCTGGAAAAAAAACACATGACACACAATCAAACGTGTGTTTGAAGCCAATGACATCTTGCGCTCCAAGTGCACAGAGGGATTGAGTTTCCGGTTCCAGGCATCAGAATGGTAAAAACACTGAAACTTAAGCTTGTGGATCTCATAACGGGCTCAGCCCCTGGGCACTCCACCTGAGCCGCTGGAGAGGAGTAACTGATAGGCCCGTAGCCGGCTGCAGCTCCGCCTGTGTTCGGTGCCACAGCGGCCCCTGTGCTAATTAGCTCTTCATTGTTGACGGGGGGGGATTATTTCTGAAGGGGATCTGGGCGGCCACGCCTCGCTGGCTCACTGTCATCATTCTCTTCATGTTTGAGTGCAGCTCTTCTCCGCGGACTTATCCATGGCTTCTCAGGCTGACACCTTTCGATACTCATCATTACAGCACATCACTGTGCAGTCTGCGCTATAGGCAGCAAGTGAAGTGTGATGGGGTGAAACACGGAGAGGCTGCCTGTGGACAGCTGTAAGGATTTAAGGTTCAACAAGTGTGCTGAGAGAGCGGTCCCCATGGGCTCCTTCACTTTACAGTGTGCTGTGTTTCCTATTTTAAATCAACTCCGCCAGCTCCAATTTCAACTTTAAATCTACGTATTATGCATCTTTGTGAAAGGAAAACAAATGAATCAGGATATAATGTTTCAGAGCAGGCTGTACACACCTCACAGGCCAGTTTGTATTGTTTGAAACCTGACTTGAACAGGCGTCACCAGCACAAACAAGGTGTTAACACTAAATTATTAATCAATCACATTAAGGAGCGCCACGCTTTCCGCACAAAACAAAAGGGCTAATCTCAGAGAGTCCTCCATGGAGACGGCGAGAAACTGAGAACGAAGAATCTCCTCCAGCACTCACGCTATTATAGCTTGTAATGCCTTATTAAACACAAAAGCCTTCATTCTCCACTTTCTTAGAGCTCTTAAACTGAGAGCAGAGCAATCAGGCGGAGTGGAGGGCAAGAGGACAGGCTTGGCCTGAACGAAATACATGTCACAAATGAAGAGAATGATTCACTGACGTTCCAAGATCTTCCAGATGTTTGCTGTTGACCGTGCTCCCCGAACTGCGTGTAGCTTTGATTTTTATGCCAAGGTAAACAGCTGGGCAATGCTGACACACACACACAAAGCAAGAGGATGAGAAAATGGTTAAATAAAATAAACTGTAGGTGAGAGAGAGACAAAGAGCTCACGTTTTTCTCCATGACACGGAGATATGTGGCACATTCACAGTGTCCGTTGTACTCTGCCAAGTCTGCTGCTGTGAACCCATCAATATCTTGATCTGAAGGGTTCGCTTGATTGGCTAAAAGGATTCTACAGCACTGATACAAGGGAAAGGACAAAAAGAAGAAGAAAAATTTTTAGTTTATTCTTAAAGCTTGTTATATCTACACAAGAAGAAACAATAACAACTGCAGTAGGGAAAATACAAAGTTTTGCCAAACCTTCATCTCTCCATTCTCTGCAGCATCATGAAGTGGGGTCCCTCCCCAGTAATCTGTGATGACCTTTGAACCCAAGTGAAGAAGCCTCTCCAAGATGCAATAGTGCCCCCTGCTGGCCGCAAAGTGCAGAGCAGTTGCTCCGTCTCTGTCCTGGCTGGACATGCTGACATCAGTAGAGGTCACCTGTTTGGGGTGAATAGAAAAAAAGATTTAACAGAGTAAGGAGACACGTTATAATGATGCAACAAAAATGTGGATTTCATAACTGACCAGCCACACCACCACAGTTTGGTGGCCCATATGAGAAGCAGCATGCAGGCAGGTCATGCCATCATGAGCCCTCAGGTGGACGTCAGCCCCGCAGTCTTTAACAAGATACTCTACAACATCCAGATGTCCCTCCTGACAGGCCAGGTAGAGCGGGGTAGCACCGATCCCTGTCTGGTGGTTTACACACCTGTATTCCAACATACAACAACAACAACAACAACAAAAAAAGGTTAGATTATCAACATGAGCCATTGACTCCTTAAATGTGATCATTGTCAGAACTTTATGTCAGATGCAACACATACAGTTTGGTCCTACTGTATGCGTCCTACATCAAAAATGGAACAGGATATATGTTCTATTCCGATGTTCTGGTTTGAAAAATGGCCGGAAAAGTGTTTTTGTTGAAAACATTGGATATTAAATAGCATATTTTTTATCATTTTATCCTGTCAAACATTTGTTGTAAACCGTGTCAGAAGTAGCATATGCATTCTTGAGTTATGGCCATGAATTTGACCACTAAAATCTAATCAGCTCCTCTCTGAGTCCAAGTGAACATTTGTGCCAAATTTGAAGAAAATCCCCGGAGGTGTTCCTGAGATATCATGTTCACAAGAATGAGTCGGACAGACTAACCGACAGAAGAGGAACTCATGGATAGAATGCCTCTGTTGCCAGTGTAGATGCATAAAAACCATGGATAATAATGCACATAATGCAATTAAAGAGCCTTACTAGGGAATATTTAATCCAGATTTTTATGAGTAAGTATTTTAAAAAGGGAAATTCACTACATGAGGTCCACAGAAAAGATGGCAGCGCTGTTCTGGAAGGTTTTCATTTGTTTCAAACTAAATGCAACAACTAGTGAACAGTGACACCACTGTTGTGACATTCCCTGATGTTGGCTCTGTTTTGAACTGACTTTATTTTCACAGTTTTTCTGACCATTACAGGAATTGATCAACATTTGGAGTACAGTATATATGCTGCAGCCCATGATGCACATGGACACAATGAAGTCAATGTTATGGATTTAAGGGATAAATTCTATAACAAAAGGAAAATAAGCATCTTATTGTTTGCTCCTAAGCTGCAACTTAGACTGTGTGTTTTTAAAACATGAAATATTTCTTGTTCTTTTTTTCTTTGGAAGAATCTGAGATCACAAAAACTTTTGACTTCCTGCCTAAAAAGCCTGTTAGGACACAGCAGGGCTGCATTTACATTGACGTACATACTGTACTTCAACAACCACAGGGCTGACATATGAGTGATAGCGTCTCAACATGTTTTATTCATGTGGTCTGACCTCGCCATGCGTCATGCAAATTACAGTCATACCCTCCTGTAACAAGGAGATGAGGCAGGAAAGTCAACATATCTTTTATCTCGTCCCCACTCAGTGTAACTCTCAGGTTTGTGAGACTGGGTCCTGTTTCCTGACGTTTTTAGTTGGGTTTTTTTCGGTTGAAAAAATAACAAATCATAAGCTTGTTTAAATTGTGTAATGGTATTTGTTAAATACACATTATTACTGTTTTAATGTATGAGGTGGTTGAGCAGACATAGTTTCTTTAACACCAAATTTTATTTTTAAGAAGCCAATAAGGAAACTTCCTGCAAGATCACATTGGTAGGATGCCAGGCATATGGAAGGGAGTTTTTGTTAGAAAAGTGACCTGAAGTTTTTACTCATAAAATAATGATTGACTTTTAGACTTAAAGGTCCAGTGTGTAAGATTTAGGTGAAAGATTGGCCGAAATTTAATGTAGAATAATTCTCATGATGTTTTCACGAGTTCATTTCATCTCAAATGTAGTTTTCTTTACCCCAGAAAAGGCCCTTTATATTTAAATACTTTATATTTACATTGAGGGGGTCCTCTCTACGGAGGCTGCCATGTTTTTACATTAGTCCAGACTGGACAAACTAAAAACCTTTTGAGTTTTTATGACAACTGAAGCTACCACAGGTTATTTTTCATCTATGGAAGGAGAGGGTGAGGTGAGGGGTGTTCAGCTGCAACATGTAATTTCAACACTAGATATCACTAAATTCTACACACTGTACCTTTAATGTCTTATAGTTTTACATCTGTGATGACTGCAATATTTAATGATATATATATATAAGTGGAATGTAAGGTTTAATATGTGTTTAAAATGTGCTTATTGGTGTAGACTGAGTGAGACTGAGTGAGACTGAGTGAGTATGTGTTTTTCAAATGTATGTTTTAAAGGTATATACTGTATGTATATTTTGAATTGTGGACACCAGGAAGACTCGCTCTACTTTAAGGCAAAGCTAATGGGGATCCTAATGAATAAAAAAACAAATAAACAAATTGGAAAAGATTATATTACACCATTGATTTCCAATCTGGAGTACTTGTAACTCAGGGGGTATCTCTGCAGTGAGCAGGCGCCACAGGGAAAGGACTTGTGCTTTTGACTGGTTGCAGATGGCAATAGAGTGCTATTCTAACAACATGCTTGGTTCTGAGACCGCTTGCTTTAGATATCACTGAGCCTGGAACCCACGACTCGAGTTGATAGGATTCAGGACCACTCTACTGTTCGCTTCAGGATATTTTGAAAAGGAAAAGAACTGCACTTCAAAAGAGCCCTCGAGTCCAGGTGCCCTCTGATTCTGTGTCAGTCGGCCTAAGGAAGTCACTGAGCAGCTCCTGCCTCACATGTCCACACTTTCCCATGTTATATCTCAGGCGCTTGCCTACAATTATAAGATGTATTCCCAATTTCAATTAAGAGCTAAGAATTAACCCTCATGGTGGAATTAGCTTCAAGATCACCGAACTCTACTGCACGCGGCGAACATCTGAACAAAATGTTGTGTCAATCCATGTTTCAGACGCTGACAAATTTGAAAGAATGAGTGGACATTTTGACCATCTGGTAGCACTAGAAAAGAAGTCCAATGAGCGCCGAAGCTGTTAAGGACATTAAATATCTGTTGTAAATTTCATGGCAGTCCATCTAATAGTTGTCAAGATATTTCTCAAAGGTCAGCCTCATGGGGGTGCTAGAGGAGCAGTCATGGGTTCACCAAAGTCAGTGGGATTCATCCTCTGTGGAAAACAAATGCCTGTGTTGAATTTTTCATAGCAATCCATCAAACGGTTGTCGTGAGATTTCAGTGTGGGGGATGCCACCAGAGAAAGCGAGTGCTGTGATCTCACCCAGGCGCCTGCTGAATGAGTAGTTTCAAACAGCTGAGGTCTCCTTTGGCTGCAGCGTAGTGAGCGGGAACTGCTCCACAGTTTGTCTCCACCTCGGCCAGTCCTCCGACTGACAGCAGCCACGTGATGACCTCCACGCAACCGAACCGAGCCGCGAGGTGAAGGGCTGTGGCACCGGCAGCGTCCCTATCCTGGAAACATTCATACAGTTCATAGTTGGATGGAGTAAGTAAACAAATTCAACTCGACCACACTACTGATTATCAAGACACTTAAAAAATGCTTCACGCTCCAACTTCAGAATTATTCCTTGTCATTAGTGACTCCTCCTCAAACAGTTCTGCAATATACTGTCATTTTTTATTGTTTGTGTGCTGGACGTTGAGTGAAGAGTGTGCAGAGTGAAGCTAGAAAACTTTGTGTTCATCCTACCTGGTTTATCAACATTACATACATTTTATAGTCAAAATTCTTCATAAAATGAAAAATGGAAATGTCTTTATCACTGTTCACATGTGTGGTTTATGCCACAAGTTTGAATGATTTGAAGAACTGGTTTTATTTTCCATACATCAAATGTTGACTAGTTCAGAGCCAGAGTTCGTTAAGCCACCGACACAATCTTCAGACACAAATTCACCTTTCAACAATTCAATCTTTCATAATAAGAGTTGATGTTAAGCACTGCAGCAACAAAATAAATGTTTCGCTTTTACTTTGAAGACAACCTACTAAAGAGAAAGTGATTCTATGAATGTTGTAGTCACGATGGAGATTTGCACCGTCAACTCTTGAGTATGTCTGAGTCAGTATGGTGAAATAAAAATAGCAAAATTATTGACATCATTACATGGGCCAGGTATTATTGGCCTAGGGCCAGCATTGGCTGGCTGCTGCTCTAGTTCATCCAAGGACGTAGAAGAAGACATGTTCAGAATGCATTGCCCCCACTGACTGCTACAGAGCGCTAGTCGCCTGTTAATTCAAATGTTGTTAATATTGAATGTATCACACGTCCAGATCTCAGCACTGCTCTTTACCATAAAGACACCAAATGTGAAGCCAGTTAGATGAACCGTTCACCAGATATGCTTTCCACAGAATTCCACGTTTGTAGAATTAGTAGGTGGATGATTTTACAAATGCAATCATGATGCTTTTGTCCAGAATTGAGAAACCAGAGATTGAAGCTTAGTAGGAGCTCCCCTCAACCCTCTAATTACACTTGCCACACGATACTAATGGATACCCAGTAAGTCAACACCATATGATGTAATCAGCTGGTAATACATGTGAAAAGGTACTTGCACAGCACCGTTTACAACTGCAGTGATGTAACTGTACTCTGGGATCAGTTAGATGACTATCTGAAGCCATTTCAACTTGCACGCAATTAAATTGGTAGAAGCAGAAAACTGGACACGTGGCATCTATCCAAGGCATTGGTTTACAACTGTTCTCAGTTGATCCACTTACCTCAATGTTGCAGCCTCCCTGGTCCACCAGCCATCGCAGCTCCCGGATGTGGCCCGTGGCTGCTGCGTCATGTGCTGGCGTGGCCCTGTTCAAGGCCCGGAGATCAGCTGCCAGACCCAGCTCGCTCACCAGGAACTGCAGGCACTCCAGGCGTCCGCACCTGGCCGCGTGGTGCACCGGGCTGGCACCCTGAGTGTCGGTGATGGTTGGTGAGAGGTGACCAGACGTCTCCAGCTCCCTCAGGGTTCCAAGATCCCCTGCTCGTGCCGCCTGGATGGCCCGATGAAGCACCATTTCTGGCTGCTATGAGAAGGCTGTGGCACACAGAAGAAGCTCGCTGGAGCTGTTTCGATGCCACCAGGTTACCTTCATGTTTTCACATGCACAAACTTGCATTCAATAACCAAAAACTCATGCACTCATAGCCTCCTCCCGAGCCAGGAAAGTGACACCTATCATTGGCCAGCTGGCAAACATGGCCGTTATGGGAGAGAGGAGGGGGTCAGAGGCAGCGAGATAGAAAGGTAATGAAAGACGGGTGGAGGAGCAGCAGTCGTGGCCCCCCTGCTCTCCTTTGTGTGGCAGTGACCATATGCTGGCACACGCACCCGCGCTTCACTGGAGATGGGGGAGCTGAGGCAGCACGGAAACTTAAGTAATGGGAGAAGTCGGAGCCAAGGCATGCTGGATTACAATGAGACAATTTTTTTATATATATTTCTAAAGCAAAAGGCTGATAAATGTGCAGGATTGTAATCTAGATGGAACATTTCATGGCTGATTAGTCAATGAAAAGAGTTTGTTTTTTACAAATGTATGTTAATATTTAATTTCAATTTCAATACTCATACATGTTGCCCTGGGTCCAATTAGCTGATTAGCTGCTCATATGACGTGATGGAAGCCGAGTCCATGCATCTCCTCATAACATCACCCCACAGGTCACTTCAAGTTCTTCTCTTTTATTATTTATATTAAATATTTCATCCATTTCACAAGTAACAATAAGCACAGGTGGTGGATTTTTAACCCTGTACATCCTTATTTGACCTCTGGGATTTACTTTACTTTGTGCACATGAAGTCCATCAGTTAATTTCTTCCAACAGCTGCACTGTTTCCCTCAGATCCTCCAGGACTGCATCCACATCTTCCCTGGTCGTCCCCCTGCCCAGGCTCAACCTCAAAGCATTGGCTGCCACCTCTGAGGGGACGCCACAGCTCAGGAGGATATGGGAAGGCCTGCGGTGCAGGAGAATTATGTAATGATGATCATTATGGTGTCTGAACAAAGGCAGAGCAGGCGACAGAGGAACTCATTTACCTGTTTCCACTGTCTGAGTGGCAGGCGGCTCCGACACTGGCCAGCAGCCTCCTGCAGTTGGACAATACCCTCCAGCCTAAAGCAGGAGAGAGAGAGATTAATGATTCAGAGGCTTTGTAGTTTACAAATAGGCCAGTGCAGGTCATGAACTGCCTGTCACAAACATTGGTGTAGGGTTAGAGGACACTGTTTGGACTCGCAGGCCACAACAGACGCAGGACAGAGACAGAAGAGTCATGACATCACCTTGTAATGTTGGGCCCAGGATAGACACATTACATGTGTTGGGGAGGATATCAGAGCCGGGGTAATGGCTGTTGAAGTGGATCCGCTCTTTAAATATGGCCTGGAAAGGACAACATGGTCAACTACTAAAATAATGTTAACAAAGGTTATCTTTTTATTTTTACTAAGGTTCTGATATTTAATGATCAAGAAGTATCATCTACACCTTCTCCAAAGTTCGGCATCTTTGGAGATCTAGAATTTAAAGTCAGTCTTTCTTGCTAAATACAATATTTCCATTATTTGTGTGATATGTTTATTTTTAGTTTCCATTAAATGTTAAATGACCGCTCCATCTATATCCTTGCATATTTCTGAGTAACACTGAATACACGGATGAGAGTTTGGGGCAAACTTGTCCCTCAGGAGAAGTGTACAATGCAGCCTGTGTAATATCTTAAACAGTGTCTCTGAATCAGTGTTACAGAAGAGAAGAGTTAGCATGTTCCCTGGAATGATGCTCATATCTATATTTTCCTCTGTAAGTTAAATATGATCTATACCGGCCTGCCACCGGTGAACACTCTCATCAACATAAGAAACACATTTATTAAGATTAAAAAATTTAAAATTAAAATCAAACGTACCCGCAGTCGTTCTTCCAGGTAAAGTTTGGTACTTTTCATATGACGCTGATAATGTGACAGATTACTGGTCACCAGCTCTGCAGCCTAAACAGACACATAATAAATCAGCAGGAGAAAAGGCAGGAAGATATGTTAGATATTTTAACACTATAAATGACTTTAGTAATATTGCATCATATTCTGGTTAAGTGCCACATAAAAAATTATTTACAAGGTAGAATATATCATATAATAAATACATTTGTAATATAATAAAGAACAAGACACAAATATTGTAACTGAAAAAAAATACTTGAATACTTAAAATCTCTTTGTGATCAAGTGACAAACGGAAAGTATGTGTTAACAAGACTACTGATATAAAGATATGATAGTACACAAAGTACTGCAAACATTCAGCTCTCATACAGAATATGACAACTGGAATAGCAAAAAAGTAATAATAGTGTTAAAAAGAGCTTGACAAAAAGTGATTTATTTATTTATTTAGTTTCATGCAATAAATTAATGGAACTATTATTACCAAGTAGAAAAAACAAACACCAGTACATTTTTTTACAGTTCATTTAATTTATGGATCTAGATAAAAAACAATCATGAATGTCATTGTATTTTACTTTATTTTTTGTATATTATTTGTATTTTATGTACATATCTCTGTATTTTTTATTTCATTGCCTATTTTTATTTGATTTTCTACCTGCTTTACCTCACCTTGTTTTTTGATTATCAGCTGCAGAAACTATCTGAGCATAAAACTAATATTAATTTCCTAAAGAGAAATATTCTACAATATCTTAAATAATATTCTGAAAAGTATCCCTGATAAAAATGAAATTACAGCCTCACTTGCATAGAGCAGGAAAATTACCTTTCCTAGACCAGCAATCATGGGTGTGTTTTCAGTGCTGAAATATTCAGGAAGAAAGAAATTAGATCTTTTGACTGTTGTTATTATTTCATCATCAACAAAGACAATGTGTTATGTTACCCTGGTCTGAAGTGTCTCTCCTGTCCTCCTCCAAACAGCATCGGGTACAATGGCGTTCTGGTTCCGGGGCCGCTCACGTACAAAGCACCGATCCGAGGGGCATAGAACTAGAAATGTAACAAACCCTGTCTAAAAATGTTTTGCCTGATTTGCATCATTTATACGACAGATTCCTGACCTTGTGCCCCACTATGGTGAGGTAATCCACTCCCAGTTCACAGACATCCACTCCAATTTTCCCCAGAGCCTGGGCAGCGTCAGTGTGGAGCAGTATCCTGAGCCGCTCATGCTGCTTGTTGAGAGATTTTATTCTCTGGCAGATCTCTTGGACAGGCTGACAAAAGGAAGATGATTTATTTTTCATCTTGAAATGCCATTTGAAAAGTCACATTTAGTGGACGGATTGTTGAATTCAAACATCTTTTTGGATTAGAATTAGAATTTCTCAAATATCTGTGCTGTAAAAAAGCTTCATAGTCCAACATAGAAGAGGATATCAGGTTCCTGAGTCTCTCTCTCCTCTCACCATGATGACTCCTGTCTCATTGTTGGCCAGCATGATGGAGATGAGACATGTGTTGGGACGCACTGCGGAAACAATGTCCTCCACCTCTACACGTGCAGTCGTCTTAGACACGGGAACAAATGTAACATCTGTGACAAAAACACAATAAGTCTAACAAGCCAAGAAGAGTTGTAGATGTATGATGGCTACTTTTTCAGTTGTAAATATAAAGTAGTAGTAAACTAAACTGAATTAGATGAACTGAGATCTGCTGCTATTGTATCTTCATCTAAAGAAGTCTTCAAAAGGGTTTTTGTGTGTGTGGCTGAAAGGTTATTGTATTTATATGGAGTATTTAATGTATGTATGTGTTTTGTATGTAGAGTAAAAAGTAACAGAATGAAGTGCAACTCATTTGATATGGTTCATTTTGAGTAAATACAATAATAAGTCATCATTTTAATAATAAGCCATTTATTAGTTTTGACCTAATATTAATAATATGACATGCTCAAACATTAACTACCCCATGATACAGAACTCATTCACATACTTTACAGTCTCCACCCTACAGTTGTTGACCTTGTCAGTACTCAGGCTGTTAAACAAGTTGCACTCCTAAATGGGGCACGTTCCATTTAGTTCCGTCCACCTACCTGCCCTGCCCTCTCTCTGTAGGTGCTCGGCTGCTAGTTTGACCGAGTCATGTTCCACGTTGGTGGTGATGACGTGCGGAAGGCCTTCACTTTGCTCTGCAGCTCTGCGGTTTCTCCTGAAGTGCTCTACAGCAGTGTGGAGCACCAGGTTATTGGCCTGAAAGATCAGTCTGTGATGAGCCACGGGTGCATGAATGATACAATTCTAAGTTTTGAAAAATAATTATCACACATATCTGTGACAAAATTACCTCTGTTCCCCCTGAGGTAAAAACGATGTCCTCTGCTCTCCCTCCAACCATTCTTGCCACATTCTCTCTGGACTGATTGATGATTGCCTTCGCCTTGGCCCCTACACAAAAGATGTTTCATACAAAAATGTTGTTTACGCTCTGTTCAGGCCAGGTGATAACATCCGTCAAGAGAGATCCGATCAGCTGGCATTAGAACACATCCTGAGTACGTCTCCTGTGACCACCAGTGATTGGATATCACTTCCCCCGCTCTATATGCAAATACACACCAATGACTTTAGCCAGTCTGACGACACAGATGGGTGTGTATGTATTTCAATGTGTGACAAGTAAAAGGTCAATTTAATTTGGACTGAATCTATTAATTTTTTTATATTTCATGAGGAACAGATACTTTAGCATTGGAAATTCATACCCCCTCTACAATTATCTGGAAAAGATAATACCCATCTAAAAGAACCATTCAATTCAATTAGAAATTATCTGGGGGAAATTATTATAAGCACTGAATACATGAAAAGTGTTTTTTATGTTTAAATTCGTTTTGAGGTTGTTGGTTTTGTTTTCTTTGTCTTTCTTCCTGCTCTGTATTGAGTTTCTTTGTTGTGAGGTGGACAATAATGTGATAATGTTATTCAGGAAAGAATACAAAGGATGTTGTTGTGATTGAGGTTCTGCTGATGAAGGATACAAATAAATGCAATTGAGAAATGTGATATATAGTTATATATGATGTGCAAGGTATTTTTATTTAAATTTGATCAGATATAGAGATACTGTGAGAGCTGGTTTGTTGGACGTATGGGGTAAAAGTGTATTTCTTTTTGTTTTGTTATATATATAGTTGAGGGTTTTTTGCTTTGTCAATGGGGGTAATGTAGAGCATTTTTAATTATTATTCTTTTTTTAAATTTGGTGCAGAGCAAGTAAGTTAAACCTGCGATATAGTTGCTACTTGGGTTTCCCCAGGCTTCCTGCAGGGCTTCAGTAATGGCCTGGGTCACTTCTGGTTCCAGCGGAGTAGTAGCATTGTAGTCCATATAGATCCTGTTTCAGTGAGTACACCAGAGAAAAGCTTTGTCACAACATAACAACACATTGAGCATAATTCGGTTTTCACTGAATTAAAGTCTTATGATAGACTGGTGACTGGCATCTATCCAACCTACCTGTCTCGATCCATCTCTGAAAAATGATGAAAGGAATTTTCAGTGAAGTTGTGACCTTTTAAAAGCATGATGTCATCAGTCTGCTTTGCCATACTCCTGAGAAGAAATTGGAAAATAAGAAGTAAATCTGCAGAGCTTCACTTCTCTAATCTGGATGAAGTGCTTTTCTACTCCTGCTGCAAGAAGATGTCATGAAATAAACACCCCTGAAAATATTCATTCAATATTCATTAGATTTCTCCTTTTCATTGCCCCATTGACTTTTAATTTTAATTATGACCCAAACTATCATCCATCGATTACTTATATTCCACAAACATCTTAATATCAACAAACACACATTAATTATAAACACTTGCAGTATGCTGCCATGTGGACATCATACACATTTGTTTTCTGGATGTTCTTTAACAATGTGTTGGCTTTTACCTAATAGCTAATGAATAGAATAAATGTTTGGACCAAGTGAAGCATAAATAACATATCAGGTCAGAAACCCATGTTTGTATTTATTTATGCATATTTAATGTTTTTAACTCACAGTCAATTAAGGCTTGAGGTTTACTATCAACTGAATCAACCTAATTCATGTATTAATTTCTCGTCGTTAATGATAACTCATAAAAGTGAAAATGTGGGATCTGCACAGCTCATCCAATTACAAAAGATGGAGATTAGTTAGTGACACAAGCATTTATTTCAATAATGAAATCAGGAACAGCCTGAGCAGTCAGGATTTAATCAGGATTTTGCAGTAACGTACACACTCTTGTTACATGTAAATGTCAAGTCAGTTTAACATTAACATAAACATGTCCAAACACTATTCTGCACATGGAATGAGCTCCTAAAATAAAGGCAACATTCTCTTATAGATTATGAATTATAGGTCCAGTGTGTTAGATTAAGGTGAAAGGGATCTATTGGCAGAAATTCAATGTAGAATAATCCTCATGATGTTTTCACTGGTTAGTTTCATCTATAGGCCTATTGTATGAATTGTAATTTTGTTTACCCCAGAAAAGACCCTTTATATTTAAATACTTTATATTTACTTCTATGGAGGCCACCATGTTTTTTACATTAGTCCAGACTGGACAAACTAAACACCTTTTGAGTTTTGATGATAACTGAAGGCTACCACAGTTTCTTTTTCATGTTTGGAAGGAGAGGGTGAGGTGAGGGGTGTTCAACTGCAACATGCAACTTCAACACTAGATATCACAAATCTGTCAGTTTTTAATAAAATGTGATTTATTCATTTGTATGACAGATAGTGAGCTTTAATGACTTGTGATGAAAAGACTGTGTATGGATCAGTGACTGCAGAACAAACAGCAGCTGTCAGTGGAGAGGAAACCTCTTCCATGAAACTTCCGTGTCAGCAACAACAGGCTCACATGTGATGACTGGGAGGTGGTTAGCGTTCACATGTCTCCCTGAGGCTCCAGAGGAGTGTGAGAAGCTAACTTTAAGCATCAACCTGCTCCCATCAGTCCCCAGTGTCTCCTCCACTGGGAGCTAGCGTGACATCCGGGCTGTCTACACGTCTTCACCTCCGCTGCTCACGTTAAACTCCCGGTGTATGACATACAAACAACGTGTGTGACAAACATCTGGCACACCGAGCTGAGGGTTAGCCAGCTGATGCTAACTCACTGCAGGGAACATCTGTCCACTTTAGCTAACGCTAGCTAGCACTGCTAATCCAGGCATGCTAACATTTATCAGATATGAATCTGTGATCTGAGGATGGGTCGCAGTGTGTGTGTGTGTGTCTGACCTTGTGATGGGATGTGAAGATGTCCTGAGAAGGTCTACCACTGTCTCTGTGTGTCAATCATTAGCTAGCAGCTAACCACCGTGTGTGTGTGTGTGAGTGTTGCCAGGTTTCTTAAAGGGAAAGCCGCAGTTTAAGAGGTCATAAAATAAATACTCCTCAACATGTATACCTGTGAATGGTTGTATATATAAACTACACTGACTTAGAGCTTGTTGAGTTTATTGATCTACTTCACCAGTAAACGAGGTATTCTGGGTTTGAGGATACATTTAGAGGATGGGGTCCGTTTGATCAGTTTACTGGATGGAAAGTCTGTGAGGATCTCTTTATATACAGTCTATGGTGAGGATCAGTCTATTAGTTACATCGAAGAACCTGAAAGACCCTGAGAATCACATTCCAACATACCATGACTCAGAAGGGTTAGATCACAAAAAGACATGTATGTGGACATGGTAACTCTGGATCTAGCTGCCATGGTAACAACCAGGAAGTTCATGCAATGCATGCACTTTGCTTTTTGGATGTTTTATAACATTGTGCTCAAATTAGAGCTGGATGAGATGGTCAGAAATGTTATAAAGATAAATATGTTTACAAGTCAGTATCCATAATTACCTAAATAAATGTCACGTTATTTATTTTAAGTTTGAAGACTGATTTTTGAGTCAAGGTTGTGGTTTAAAACTCTTCTTCATGAGCAGAGAACGACTGCAGTGCTTACATGATGCATAAATAACTCACTTAATAAATAGATTTTTGTTGTATTGCTATGGATAAAGATTATATTGAGATAATATGTGTCATTGTTTTATTGCCCTGCCTGAGTTCAAATAAATCAATAATAAATAAAACTCAATAAATTCACCTCATAATGTATGTATCAATCCATAGTTATCAATGATAACAACTTTGAATCTGAAATCTGGAGGTCTACACAGGTTGTCCTATTATGAAAGATGGTGATCTCAGTGACTTAAAAATGAATCTCAAAAATGTTCTGCTTTGCAAAACTCCTATTCCCCATTCAATTCTCAACTGAGACTGTTTCTAGAGTCTGACATCATCGTACAGCCCGAGCAGTCAGGATTTATACAGGAGTATAATGTTTACACTGTCTGCTCTCATAGCACAATGTCAGGTCACAAGACATTTTAACATTAGTTGTGAACCTCTTCCTTCTACTGGACTTAGTATTTTTATTTTTATGTTATTATATTATTCTTAGTATAAATACTATTCTGCATATACAAATGGAATGATCTCCTAAAGTAGGAAGTTACACTCTCCCGTTACACTTGAGGAAGTTAAGTTTTTAAATCATATACATTATACACATGTATCATGTATTTTCGGTGAATTATTAGCGTAGTTTACTTTCTGCTCACAGGTCTCTTGAAAAATACATTCCGATCTCAATGAGACAATCAGTTTAAATAAATGATTTAAATAAAATAAAATAAGTCCTGGTCACCATGTTCAATAACAAATACAGTAAAAAGAAAAAGAAGAGTCCATGACTTTGTGTTGCATAATTTCCATGTTTATTTGATATATGACAATGTGTTTAGTGTACACAAACATTTGACGCTAAACTCCAACACTCAGAGACACTGACTGAACTACTGCCCATTTAAGATTTTGTAAATGGGTGCAACTTTATAATACAATGTTCACAGCAATCATGTTTATGTACAATGCAAAATCATTTGATAGTGCGAGAGAAAAAAAAATTAGAAGTGGAAGCACAAAAATTTGAAATGATATTCCTTCAAAAGGGAGGGATTCGAAAAAGTAGATGTTGTGAAGGCTGTCGGAGCATGACGGTGATGGTAGAAGAGTGAAAGACTGACAGGAAGGTAACCTACAGCATCACTCTGTACAAGATGCCTAACAGGGCAAAGATGAACCAATTACATCCTCCCACACATCAGTGGATAAAATATTACAGATATGCCCCGTATCGTTCCCTGATAATCACCCTCTTACAATCAATAAGGAACCAGACTGTGAATCACAAGTCAACACAACCACTCCAGCAAAATAAGCATCTTTAAAATATTGACGTACATTCAGTGTGATTTTGTTTGTGACTGTGCCAACAAAACTTTGGTTGGCTCGAATGTGATACACATTAAAAAGGCGCGATGAAAACGAGAGGAATACTCTCAACATTGAGATCAGAGTGGAGCTGACATTTTCAGATCAGGTTTTAAAGGAAATAGGACAGAGACGAGTGCATGAGACAGTGATGATGTACGGTGCAGCAGGCATGTGTGATGGATAAACTAGGACTGCACTCTCTGCCAAGAAAGTGTGTGACCACTACATTGATCACGAAAACAAATAAAAAGATATGAACAGACTGTTTGATTACGTTATAAGGGCTGACAGTAGTACACACATGTTGGGTTGTAACACGGTTTGATTGGCTAACTTGAAAATATGTCCACAACACACAGAATACTTCCAAATCTCAGATGATATGCTTTTATAAGACTATGGTGTTATATTCAAATCACTGATATAAACAGATGGTTAGAGCTTACTGCCACACTTCAATTTACTTTGACATACAGAGAAAATAGTATTATTGTAAGGGTTAAATGCTTCCAGATGCTGTCTTCATAGGTAAGTGACATGTCATTAACATTATGGAACATGCTCTCTAGGCTGGCTGACCTGAGGCACGCTCACCCATCCAACTGAAACGACATCAAACGATAAGCTGACAGAGTTGAAAAAAGAAACAGGGAAGAGTTTAGCAGTTTGCAGCAGCATCTGATTGTTTGACAAATGACAGCATGTGTTCTTTGACGATACATAAAAGACTGTAGCATAGATTTAAATGTAAATGTAGATTAAAATGTAAATGTAAGCATACTGTGTGTTGTGGAACATTCCGTATCACATGGCATCTGATTGCCGTATTTGAAATCGAACATTGTAGTACGCGACACGATTTGTCTGAAGATGTAAGAGACGATGATGATGACGATGCAGAAATGTGATGTCATTATCTGCAGACACTTCCAGAACAGTATTATAGCAGCATGAAGGATGTAGTTTCAAAGCAACTGTTGCGGAGGCATACTGTACAGTACACCCATACAGTATGAGTGATAAGAGAGGCACTACATTTAATCAGTAGACTGTACATTTCATTCAAACAGTTTATGATTCTTTACCGTGAGGAACACTTTATACTTCTGATCTTTTAACAAGGTAGTTTGTGCAGTAGCGAATGGACCACCTTAATATTCTCTACCTATGAAATTGATCTGGTCAGATGTGTGTTAGTTGGTGTGACTATCAGAATCTGAGAGGGGATGCTATCATTATTCAATCAGGTAAAGGAACTGGCCAATCATAACGTTATTGAATTGATACTAATTGCATTGGGGACAGGGTTGAGTTATTCAAACATTTAAGGAACTTATATTAAAAAGTGCAGTGTGCAGAAATTGCACGGTACTACTACTTTAGAAATATAAATGTCTTTGTAAATAAATACATGCAGAAATAAATAATAAAGCTGTTAAATATCTAAATATATCACATTTAAAAACAAATAAAAAAATCCAGGTAGAGAATGAGATTAAGTTTGGGAGGATTAATGGGATGATATTTGATTACTTAACATGTGAATGTAGATACCCACAGTGCTCCTACAAGTAGCTAAAATAACACGGATTTATCAAAATGCCACAAGAACATGAAGTTTATGATGATATGACGTTTCCCTCGCCAGGCTGTGTGTGCTAAAGTTTCTATGTAGTTTTCAGCGACACGAGGCAGATGACTCAAAGTCAGGATTCACAGACCAGAAAGAAGAGAGAAATATTCAGAAGAGTTGCACTCAACTGTCATTTTTGTCTTTTTTTGTGCATTTCCTTGCTGTATGTTGTATGCAAACCTGTTTCGACACTATATATAGCAGTAGAGTAGAGAAGAATCTGCATGTTTGCCTATTTACCGATGCAAATGTAGCAATGTGATCCTCACTGCCGCAGCAGCTGCAGATGAGACAAATGTCACTGCATTTTTTTTAAGGAATAAATGTATAAGGCTTGATGTGTCACTGACAACAACTACAGTACATTACCATATATATGTAATCTGAGATAAGAAACCTGTTGCTACTTCCTCCATTTTCTTCATTCGTCCCTCTATGAACAAACTCCAGTAAAGTATAGTGACAGCTTTTTGAAGAGGTTCTCCAGACTACAAGACTCACACTGCGGCAAAAGGCCCGACAGGAAAATGGACGCTTTAGGTGCAGAGGACACAAGTGATAAACTGAGAACGCACAGGGGGGAAGATGGTTGTCTGTGGTGGTGATGGTGGTGGTAGGGCTCAGCACAGGGGGGAGGCGATCAGGACGTGGATCTATTTACATGTAAGTCTTTGCGATCAACCTTCTCTCATGATATTTATTCAGGGTGTTGTTTCACATCCTCATCTGTCCGGCTCGTCTTCTCGACAGCTTTGACCTGAGAAGCAGAGAAAAGGAGGCAGATAAAATATACACATTTTTCTCACAGAAGAATAAAAAAAAAATAATCATACTACTTGTATAATTTTAAGATCATAGCATCCAGTATTACTAAAATTAAGATGTAATATTACAAGAACAAAGCCACAATATTACGAAATACAGAAATAACGTTAGAAGAATAAAGAAATACAATTACAAGAATAATGTTGTAAATCTACGAGATCAAAGCTGTAATAGTATGAGAATAAAGTCATTATACTATGAGTATAAAGTTACCTGCATTAAAATGAGGAATGTGGAGCATCTTGTTAAGTTATGCCTTAGTATAAGTTTCACAAATAACATAATGCACACATCAACACCACATTAAGCATCAGGACTTGTGTAAGTAACTTTCTATTCTGAAGAAAAATCCACACAGACAGAAATTGCCTCGTTTACAAAGCAGGAAATCTTTGGTAGTGGTTGACTGTGGGGTTATCATTGGTTACATCATGATATTCAACAAGTCTTTTTTCTTGAAATCTGCAATTGTTTTTCTTCAGTATGAACCTTATAACCATTTTTTAACTTTCCTCCATTAAATTATTCTTTTTCAGAGAGACACATTTTGTACCTGATAGTTCCAGCAAGGAGAGGATTAAATGCGTACAGCCAGTCATGCATCTCTTTGTCATTCGTCGCTTGAAGTAATATTCCACGATGTTCTGTGCACACAGCAAATGTGTTTGGTGTCTGTTGAGAAAGGAAGCAAAACGTTAAATGTTATTATGGCACAAGAGAAGCAGAAAGAGAGGATCAAGGGGATTTTGTTGAACCAACCACCTTCAGCATCGCCTGCTGGTCCTCACTGTACTCCACTTGGGCAGAGGAGAGATTGAGAATAGCACGCTCCACTGTGTCTCTCTCTGTGTTGTAGATATAAACGTACGGCCGCCGCACCACAACGTAACGCTTCACCCATCCGTTGGTGTGTGGCTCCAAGAAATGTATGTAACCCTTCTTTGACACGATGGGGCTGAAAAACCAGAGGATTATTATTAGTGAAACCAAAGGGTTGTCCTCACAGCTCAAGGTGATGACAGTTTTTTGAGTTGAACAGTAGCGGACTCACCTGACTCTGATCTCCTGGATGTCAGGGACAAATTTGTGGCTGCGGGGCTTTGCTTCAGGGGCTCCATTGTTGGACTTCTTGGCCTCTGGATCCTGCTGTGCGTCAGGACCGGGGCTGACGGCACGAGAGCGAGGCATGGGTGGTCTGTAGTACAAAAACAAGAGGCTTTTGAGTTCTCATGAGAAAAACTACACCTTATGGAGTTGTAGCACTTTACAATAACTCAGTGAAAATACCATCCTCTGTGTTATCCAGCTACCAACAGTTTTATTCAAAAGAAAGAAACGTGATCTATACACTACACAAAATGGAATCCAGACTGCAGCATCCAAGGATAACAATTGATACAAAACAATAACCATAAAAGTATGTCTTAGCACTGACCTGAGTTCAGTGGTGCCATAGCAACCCTCCACCAGTGAAGGGCACGTTGAGGAGGGTGTGATTGTGTTGAGAGCAGAGATTGAAGTGGAGTCTCTGAGTGTTGTGACCGACATCTCAGAGATCTGGAACACGCAAACCCACACAGATACACACAGGGTCAATAATCACAGTGTATTCATTCATACAGATACAGTGATATATACTGTGTGTGTTTAAATGGAAGTTTATAAAGCATTTACCCTGCTTTCACTGGCACTGACACACACGTGGCCGTACTCTCTGTTGAAGGAGTGTGTGAGCAGCCGCAAGCACTGTAAAAAGCAGAGAGCTTGAATGTCTGTTCATGAAGAAAATCATATCTGTGATCACACTATATTTATATTTGCCATTAATGTAGATACTGTTGGTTCATGTATACTTCCTTTTGTAATGACAGAGATCAAAGAAGATAATAAAATACATGGCTGCACACATCAAACGTGAAATTTAAACTTTTACAATATAATGGTGGCTGACCTTGGCGGCAAGCTCCCTCTGCCTCTCCGTGGCGAAGTCAGAGCCAGAGCTGACCTCTGGATAGACCTCGAGGGGCTGAGGAACCTCGCTCAGCTCCTCAGGGATACAGGCCTGCAGGGACTCCTGACCCATGAGCAGGGTGGACTCCAGCTTCTCTCTTAACAGCAGGTAATGTTTGGTCCTCTCAACCTGAGAGAATGGAGGGAAAAACGTCAAAATCATTGAGAAGAGACAACGTCCCTCAGATTTAGAGAAAGCAAGCTACTTTTGGAAATAGCAGAGGAAACCTGTTAATTTGACCATTTCCAGTTCTTTTTCGATCAGACACAGCAGAGATGATTCTCTGCACTAATTTCAATATCATTAATCATAATATTTCTTATATAGTTAGACGATGCGGGTTGTGATATCTGGTGGTGTAAAGCTGATGCATTCTTCATTATCCATCACATCTGCCATAGTTTTCTCTATCATTGCTCTGCCGAGGACATCCTGTTTTTCCATTTTTTCAGATAATCTGTGCCTGTTCTCTGCACTCACTGAATTAAGAACTGTGCATAGATGTTGGACATACAATTGGCCCTTTATGGCCCCTGATTAAGAAAAATCCTGCCTCTAACTTATATAATAGGAAACCCTAGTAAATACTCTAGAAGAAGCAACAGCTTTCTTAATAGTATGCCAGGACACATTTATGGTGAATTCTGGTAAACACAGCATAATGACAGGTGCACAGATTTTGCTGCGAGGCCCTCCTATTAACACACCACATCTGTATAAAGGAGTTCATTTCATGTGCACAGTAAACTACATATGTAAAGTTGGGCTGAGTCTGACAAAAACTATGTAGACCAATGACTAATGATCTCCATTCTTTGGATGTTTCAAGAGGGTTTTGCTTGAGGAGATGATTTAGAGACGCATGTTTTTTTAACTTGTGTGTTCCAAAGGCCAGTGGGATGTTTCTCCAGATGCTTATTAAAGTAACTTATATAAAGTGCTATAAATTACAAGCAGCATAATCTCCTCACATCTTGAAGGAGGCTGAGTTTCTCCAGCTCCCACTGGTGGTCCAGAATGAGGCTGTCACTCCGAGGCCTCCACCCAGCCAAGTTCTCCTCCCCACGGACGTAGGCCACTGAGGTGTCCAGCACCCGCCTGCGTCTCCTCTGCATACCTGGGTTGAAATAGGTGCAGGGTTAAAGGTAACACAGGTAACTCAGGGTAATTCCATAACCGTGTCTTGTCTCTTACCTGGGCTTCCTGCATCTGCTAGGTTACATAAGCTGACCTCGTACACTCCCGTAACTCGGTTTCTAATAAAGAAAAAAAATTCAAAAATCAGTTGAGTGGACACTACACAATGTTTTTATCGTTTGAAATGTCAAACTCACCCATCGGCTGCTCTCAGGCTTCCAGTACCGAAAAGATTGCGGATGGAGCGGGAGGCTGAGAGCTTTGTGTCTCGAGAGTAAAACACCATGCAGATATCTTTGGTTATGACTGCGGGCTGGGTGCAGTTCTCCATCTGCAGTAGATAAAAGTGGAGGATTAGCCAACATTGTTACTCTCGAGTAATTTACACATGACCACTATTACTGTAGGATCTATTTTCCCTCATGAGTACAGAGTAAAGTACCTCCAGATAGGCTGAGAGGGTCATGTAGATCTTCTCCCCGTATGGAGTGACTCTGTTTAGGAGCAGAGAGTTGTGCATGGAGCTATCCCAAGCTGCTTCAAAACGATAGAAGGTCCTGAGGTAGTTTGTTGGACAAGAAACCCCAAAAATTACTCAGCAGGCAGAATTTAAGCAGTAGATTAGCAGTCAAAGCTTAACTAACAAGAGCGATGTTAACTTAAAATCAGGAAAAATAATTAAATAACCAAGAATGCGTTCATAAACACTTAAACAATTTAAAGTCAATTTACTGCTAGCACTTAATTTTAACATAGAATTTTTGTATTCCTAAAAATCTCTGTAGAAAAGAGTGCTAATTAAATCTTTTGCATGCAACAGGCTAACTGAGCTGGTGTTCTGCATTGTGCACAACACCTTAGAAAAGCAAAGAGAGCTGAGATGACTAACAGTACAGAGAAAAGGGGAGATGAAAGACAGCCAGAGGAAATGAGGGACAGGGCAGTGAAATACCTATGGTCAACTCCCAGGGAAATGCTGTGAGAAAGAAGAAATCAGCAAAAGAATAGAAAGTGAGAGTCAGGAAGTATGTTGTGGTTATGCGCTTGTGAGGCTGGGGTGGTGTTTGTCTTTGTTCACACTGTTATCTCATTATGCTGTGAACGGTACATTTCACCCATAAGAGAATACATGAGAAAGCTCCTTCTGGAAGGTGTCGATTGACTTGATGCAATCTCTCATCCTGACCTCCCATTGAAAAAAGGTCAAATAACAGCACGGCCATTCTTCAAGCAAATACAATACAGCTTTCTGTTATGCCTCTGATTTGCTCCATACGTTAATGTACAGGATTTTTCCTATTTCCCCTCAGGGGAAATACTGTAATCACACACTGAAACCAGTTATTCCTCTGGCCTGTTGCCCGGTACAGCCTTAAATCTGAAAAAGATAATCCAAGCAAGAATTGTAAAAGGAAACTAATGTTTCTGTAAGCCATAAAAACAGGCTGAATGTACTCTTCATGAGCTTCAGATGTTGGGCCCAAAAGGCTATGGACTGAGGTGACCTTGTGGGAAAGTGGACAGTGTGACTGCAAGGAACTGACTGCTTCTATGTGAGAGTGACGGGGATTCAGTGTCGAAATAGCCTGTTTTTTTAAAGCAACAAGTGCATTAAAACACACACACACATACACACACTCACACACTCACTCACACACACACACACACACACACACACACACACACACACA